TGGGAAAGAAATGAAAAATATTAGAGATTTACAGATGCAAAGTACAGATTTACATATTTTTCCAGAAAAACATGGGAAAAACGTTTAAAAGGATGCGCCAAAAAGAACTCGTCAAAGCAATTCCTGTGTGGCTTTTCCAAGTTTCTTTTTAAAAACTAAGAGATGAGATGCTTGATTTTTAACAGAACGGGACTGTTAAGTTTTGTTTTAACATGAATTTCAATCAATTTCGGCCAAGCTCTTCAAGTGAAGGCGCTGGGAAGGGGGTTTCCAGGATGAACTGAACTGGGGTTGATTACCGCAAACAGTTCAATACTAACAAGCATGAAATTGAGTTAGAAAATGGAGGAGAAGCGTGAAGACAAAATAGGAAACCACTGTTTTCTCACTATGTGCTAATTTCATAAGATGTATGCATAATAATCCATAGAATGTGGCATATTACAAAGTTCGTGAAATCACCCGACAACAGGGCTACCCTCCTGCAAATTCATTCATGTATCAAACGCTGAAGCATTTCAACACAGGCACCATTCAAATTCAGCTTTAATGAAATTTGACATCCCTTCTCTCTCATCTGATGAATCCCTTTAAAAAAAAGAAACAATCCCATAACAAAGAACGGTCTGATCAAAACAGGTCTGATTAAAATTCGCAAATTTTTTGGCATATAAATTCCGTAACTGCTGCATATACCAATGGATACTAAGATTGCCCGGATAATGGGTGGTGGGGGTCCCATATTACTGGATGCTAGTGCAGGGGTGTTAGATTCTTCGATCCTAAGCTGCATATCAACAGCCAGTACCCATCAAAGTGTTGCATAAATTTGTAGGATCTACTTAAAGCTACAGCCTTGGAACGTTTATAAAATTTGGAAAAGTACAAGGACTAAAAAAAGGGAAGCAAAAAAATCAAAACTCACATCGCCCTGATATTCAATTGTATCGATTCGCACATTTCCTCTTATATAGAGCGTTTTCACCTCACTAACCGGTATTCGATGTAGATAATCACATAAATGGCGCCCATCCACGGCAATCTGAAACTGTGCTTTCACATTGAGAACAAATGGCGAGCGAAGATTAAAAAAAAGAGCAGCACTGCTGAAAATATGTGCTTTCTAAAAAACCAAGAGTGCCTATAAAATGAAAAACCCCTCCCTGCCACTCGTTACCTCCCCCCCCCCAGGAGGCCGTCGTGACTCCGCCTATGCAGTGAGGGGGAGGGATAAGTTGTCCCTGCCATTTAAACATTCCGTATGAAAAAGCTGTCTAAAACTAAGAAGCCAAAACTCACCTTATAATATTCGGCGAGTGCGAGTATCCGCATCGAAAACGGATATCCCTCTTTAAAGACATTCGCATAACGCTCCTCTATGCCCCATCTGTTACCGGTCATCGAATTCAATACAATCTGCCGATCCGCTTGACCACCAAACCTGGACAAATAAGCTGTAATTCCGTGGATCGGCCCAACAATGCGGCTTGTTACGCAGTGTTTATAGTAGTCTTGACGAAAATATAATTTAGAAAATGAAGTGAATCCAAGCGGCACCGCCAGGAAGGGTTAAATGCATGGATCACTAAAAAACAAACCAAGAATTATTGACATCGAATCGAGGGTTGAAATGCAACGCTTTGTCATCCTGATGATCACCCTGCACCAGCAAACCGCAGCAAAGTTCCACGGCAAAACGTTTCTGATGCGGTTCATGCACTACAGCTCCTTTTAAAACGATTGCTCGGCCCGGGTACAGACCGCCAGGGATCGACTCGACATATGGTAGTGCCTGAAATTTTGAAATCTATTTTTATGCATTTTTTCACAACCAAACGAAAAAGAGATCATAAGCATTCCTTGCCTAAACTTGAGTGTGTATATGTGTGTGTGTGACATATTTAGGCATAGTTCCCAAAAGACCGGAAGAAATGAGTACCACTAACTACTCGCAAAATAGGTGAAAGCACGCCGACCAAAAAAACAAATTTTAAGAAAGCGTAGCAATTTTGCTATAAAAGATATTTTGGTTCAAATGTCCTTGAAAGCTGTTTCTTATATCTTTCGACAGCTAACGGATATAGTGCAGTGGTGCCGCTCTCATGCTGAAGCTCGATAACCAATTTCCCCACAATCCGTTTATTCTTTCAATGGTTGACTGGTACTGGCGCATGTCAGAAGACCCTAGATCCTAGGCTGGAATGCACCAGACTTGAAGTACTCAGCTCGCTAACTGCATAAATGGTTGTTGCTTTACTCCTACCTTATGAGCTCATTAGCGTAAAACATCTTTAAAATTTGCATTAAAAGAAATGAACAATTTCCGTTTTACGGTTGTTCTTTGAAAATCACCTAGCCGCTCAGTGAAAAATTTTTCCCGCCAAAAATTAAACTGCCCATGCGTGAGAGCCACGCATATCTGGAGGCTGAATTTGAAATCTTTAAGTTGTATATGGAAGAAAACACCGAAACAAATGAACGAAAGATAGAGGGACTGGTTGCGCCACAACTGTCAACCTATCTTATGACAGCAGCAGTTGTGCAATACCACTGCGTCACTTGTCAGCATTAGATAACAAATGCGGGGGTGCGCAAACGAACATTCCTTTATCATATCCGAGTCAAAAAATAATGATTATGAGTTGGAATTAGGGAAGTGAGAAGGTTGTGCTTCAGCAAGCAGTATTTGCGGATTATTTTTAATGGACGAAATGAAAAATATGAAAAGCTTCAGAAAATAGATGAGCAATGCGGAAAGGATAAAGACAGATTTTAAATCTAAGAAGTACCCTCCTCTTCCCTATTTTGACTCAGGTAGGTCCGTCTCCTTCTTTTTCATATTATGTATGTGGATATTCCTTCCATATTTTTTTGTCTCATTTCCTTACATTTCATCTTTATACGCATTTACATTTTAAACACTCTTAATTAGTAAACATCAGGACCACTGTACTAACAAGGTGTGCGTGAACGCTAATTAATTTTTGCGCGTTTTTACTGTACAGCGCTATAACGCTGCTACAGTGAGTAAAGACGCATATTGTCGAGAGGTCGTCTGTGTGTGTGTTTTTGAAGGCGAGTGAGCTTTGTCACCCACTTCCAGCTCAGCAACCAGGAAAGCTGGGACATTAAAAATTTGGGGTCATATTCCCGCCCTGTGTGTCACCCTCCCGTTTTAAAAACTTCGCTCATATGTGCCTAAATCTCGCGTACGCACTCCCAAAAAAAAAAAGAAAATATCCAAGTTTCTTCTTTGGCGGGAAATAATTTCGTCGACCAGACAAAGTAGAAAGCTAAAACTTTGTAAGGGTATTTTTTGTGCATGTATGAGCTAAAGATTTCAAATTCAGCTA